TATTATTATTATTATTATTATTACTTGTATTTAAAACAAAAAGTTCCATCGACAGACATTAAAACAAACACAAACCTGTGTAGATGTTGCAGTATTTTCCTCCATACTGAGAGGTGATGACTGGACCCACGTCTGCTCTGCTCAGAGAAGGAAACAGACTCAGTTCTCTGTAGAGTCTGGCGATTTCCTCTGGACTGTTCACAACCTGAGAGAAATTCACAGCTGACATTCTCACAGCAGCAAAAACATGTCTGAAGGAGACAAATAACTGTCTGACACCGAACAAAGCCTTATTCATGCCCTGTGGTTGTAGCTACCAGGCTACGCAGGATTCGGTATAAATGTTGATCAATAAAACATGCCCTAACACAATTAAGTCAGTTAAATGACTCACAATGCTAACGCAACATTAGTTATTTTCTAGCATTTCCTTATTCATACAGAAAGTTCCTGTTGCAGTTGGCAGTAAACAGTAGCGCCCATTAGCTTGACTGAAAAACCTGTTACGTACACATTACAGTCACACGGCGTTAATAATTTATATAGTTTGCAAATTTCGATGTGTTTACTGTTGTAACTGTAATTTTAAAAATTTAAGAATAAAATAAGCATTACCTGTAACTCCATGACTGTCTACACCTTCTCTGCCCTATACTTTGTCAACGACGCTTAGTATAATGTCAGTTAAAGTTGAACATTTGTCTGCATCCTGTTTGTTTTTTCAAAGTAAAATGTAACCAGATTATGCACATTTTTGAATTATAACTATGCGAAATAAAATAGAGGCACTAGGGGAATCACAAAATGATCGTATTGAGGTATTTAAAACACTGGAAGGAATAGAATATATCATGTAATAATGGTGGTTTACGAACATGCGTGCTTTTATTTCTTAGGAATTATCTGACCACCGGCAACATCCTATATGAAATTCTTAGTAACATAAAACACGCGTGTAACTCTTTAACGCGTTTTGTAAATTACTGACGAGTCGTGAATTTTAAAAATAATTTAGAACTAAACCTCATATTATTCACCAGATGGTATTTACGTTTTCTTAATTAACGACGTTTTAGGTCAGCTGACTGTCAGTCTATGATTGGGTGGAGTCAGGTATAGAAAACCACGCCCCAATCGACAACACTAAACAGGTGTCTATATTTATCTAAAAATAGTTACATCGAGGGCATACGGACGGAGTAGGTTTTTTTGAAGATGTTTCACCTCTCATTCAAGAGGCTTCTATATGTTTATGTTTTGTCTTTTAAATTTTTACAAAAACATAAAATATATTTTTTATAGTTTACATTGTTATTATGAAATTACTCTAAGGGCATAATAGTATATATATATATATATATATATATTATTACATAATAGTTTAGTTTATATTATATTGGAGCGGTTGTAATACGTCAGTACCTCCCCTGGGGGGCGCCAAAAAGTTACAGGGGAGGCTAGCATAAATGGTCTGTGTTGGTTCTCACACCATCCCTGATCTCCTCATATTGTTCTGTTGCAGCTCCTGCTCCACCTTCCTCCTGTGTTTCCCCTTAGCCTCCTTCAGGGAACGTTTCACCTCCCTCTGTGCTGCTCCCATGTCCTCCCTGTTGTTTCTCCTGAAGGCCTCAATGTCCTCATCATCTGGACTCAGTAGTACGTCCCAGTCTAGATTCATCTTATGTACATGCAGTGTTTAGGATGTGTAGGCCCAATGAAGCTGCTTGAACTCTGGGGACAGAACAGAGAATGACAATAATGAGAACAGGTTAAATGTGAACAACTGACCGTTGTCTTGCAGTGACAACAAAAACATTCACATTTACAATGACTAGAAAAATTACGTAGATAAAAAATTGAGCTCTTTTCGTTTTTAGAAAATAACTAAAACAAAATAAACTACAATGAACAGAGATTGATTGCGCAAATCCTAAATTTATTTTCTCAATACTTATCGTATTATCAGATTTCTTTGCGTTAGTGTCAATTTAATCTAATTTGCATTTATTTGGGTGTGTCGTCAAGCCGTTTCAGTTGACAGTTACGGGGCGCATTCATTCATTCATTCATTCTTTCAATCATTCATTCATTCTTTTATTCCAAGCATCTTTACAACAACAAGAAAGTAGCCAGTCTTTTCAAGTCAAAACGCTCAAGTCCACGTCAAGTCACGAGTCGCTGATGTCAAGTCCAAGTCCAAGTCGAGTTGCGAGTCTCTTTACTCTTTGTCTAGTCGACTCCAAAGTCATCAAACTCGTGACTTGGGTCGAGGTCGTGTAACTAGAGTCTACACCTCTTAAGACTGTATAGGGTATGGAACAAATTCAATAAGAAGGAGAAGAGGCATCATTTTTTGGGTTCATATATGTGCCCGTCTGACTACAGAGGAGAAGGCATCAGGCCCCGGCATGCAACCAAGAATGTAGAATGTTGTCAGGTTAGTATAGATGTCAGTCTTTAATCATAGGGTGCTGCTGCATGTATTCGTGTCTTTGCTGCTGTGAGAATGTCAGCTGTGAATTTCTCTCAGGTTGTGAACAGTCCAGAGGAAATCGCCAGACTCTACAGAGAACTGAGTCTGTTTCCTTCTCTGAGCAGAGCAGACGTGGGTCCAGTCATCACCTCTCAGTATGGAGGAAAATACTGCAACATCTACACAGGTTTGTGTTTGTTTTAATGTCTGTCGATGGAACTTTTTGTTTTAAATACAAGTAATAATAATAATAATAATAATAATAATACATTTTATTTAAAAGCGCCTTTCAAGTCACCCAAGGACACTGTGTTGTGTCCTTGGTTGTGTAGTTAGGAAGTACTGAAGGAGAGGGAGCTTAACACATGTTTAGCATCGGCTCTAAACATTTATTGGCATTGAGACAGGTTTTTTTTGCCAATACTTTCTGTCTATATATATATTTTTTTTAGAATGGAACCAACGTGATTTGGAGAGGAACGAAAATGTTAAGTTTTGCCGACAGTACATTGTTTTCCACGATGATACATCTGTGGTCTACTCTGGAGCTTCAGGAAACTGCACCGAGATTAAAGGAGAGTACGTACAATTTTTAGGATCTTTAAATTTAAACAATGTCTTTTGGTATTTCTTCAATTTCTCACAATACTGATGTGTTTTCTCCTGTCAGAGTTCTTAGTAAGGATTCCCCTTCAGGGGAAATGAAGGCTGTCGTGAGAGACTGGAAAAAACAGGATAAAGAAAACCAGTTTCTGGAGGTGTGTGTTTTAGTATGGTCCAAAATCAATGTTTGACTTTTCATTTTGAATACATAATCTTATGGGTCTCTCCCGTGGACACTGCAGATATGGAGGAAAAACATCAAAGTAAAGAGCATTGATCTCAAGGAACTGAAGAAGCACGGCAAAGTTTATGATGACGGTGGGTAATCTGTGAATGAAATTAGCCTTAAACATCTTTTTCTTTCTTTTTTTTTGGCCATTAATCAAACCATTCTGCCTCCTCCTTAGATCAGTTTGGCTGCTTGCTTTGGTCCAAGTCTGAGACTCATCTCCTGTATGTGGCTGAGAGGAAGAGACCAAAGGCAGAATCCTTCTTTGAGGTTGGCCAAAAGGAATTTCAAGGAATTTCAAGGAGCACATTACAACTGTGTTAATCTGGTATTTCAACCAGCATATACTGTATGTAGTTAAAACTGGACACCCTTGATACCAGCTTCCCGAAATACGAGGATTCCATGTTACTAATCTGATACTATAGCAAGATTGTGTTCCTGATATGAGGAAACATCTAGCTACTAATGACACGAGTGGATGGAGACACGAGTGCTGTTGTAGAACAGATTCAACTCGTATCCAGGGAGTCCACTGTATATGTTACTCATTTCATCCATTAATAATGATTCAGTAGTCACACTGAATCATGAACGTCTTGTTTTTATATTCTAACATAAAAATTGTTAACACTGAACTATTCTGTCTGGGTTTTTTTTCTCCAGCAAGTGTCCCCTGAGACTTCATCCTCTGGATATGAGGGCGGTTCCTGGAGGCCAGAGATGAAAGACACAGTAAAAGTCAGGATTCATCGTAAACTGAGATGTTCATGCTAATAATTATGTGACGTTCACTGCTAAAAGTTCAAGACAATTATGTCGTTAATATAAAAGCTCAACCGTCTGTCTGTTTGAGTAACAAACCCAGTTTCAGGTCTTATTTTAACAAAGCAACTCAGTACACACAAATGTCCTTTTTTTGAGTTTGCGAAGGTGAAGAGGTTTTGTCTTTATTTTGTTTTTGTTTTTTTAAGGGGGAGCAGTTTGCTTACTATGAGGACTGGGGAGAAGAAATGGATGGTAAAAGCTGTCCAGTGCTTTGTGTCCTGGACATTGAAGGAGACAACGTCTCAGTGCTGGAAGGTGTACCTGAAGATATCTCGCCCGGACAGGTGGGTTCAACAGTCTAGGACCAAAACAAAGAAATATATTTAGGTTTACAGAAAATATTAATGTATATGTATATGACAATAAACCTCTCCTTGAATCTTGAATCTCTGCAGGCGTTCTGGGCTCCTGGTGACACAGGTGTGGTGTTTGTAGGATGGTGGCACGAACCGTTTAGACTTGGCCTTATGTACAGTCCCACCAGAAGGTGAAGTTGATTCATTGTTGATGAACTGATTAGAAGGAAATACTCATCACCTTAATAGATTAATTCATTATATATATATATATTTATATTTTATTTATTTATTTGACAGGTCGTCTTTATTCTATGTGGATCTCACTCATGGGAATTGTGGTAGGTAGCCGGGTTGTGTGATTTGTTTTTTAATGTGTTATTTATCCAGCTCCTGAGTCACATATGGCGCTCAGCGATGTGTCACATTTTGCCTGTCTGTAATTAAGGTTATAGATTAGATAGATAAGATAGATAGATGGACAGATAGATAGATAGATAGACGGATGGATGGATAGATGGATGGATGGATGAATGAATGGATAGATAGATAGATTAGATAGATAAGATAGATAGATGGACAGATAGCACTTTATTAATCCCTTGGGAGTTCCCTTTGGGTGATTTAGATATAGATAAATATTTCAGTTCTATAACCATCGCTGAAACAGAACTGTCACCTGTTCACAGACGTGCATTTGTTTGTCGTGTCCTACAGAGCAGTTGATTTCAGACAGCAAAATAGCCGTCTTTTCACCCAGACTGAGTCCAGACCAGCGCCGGATTATCTACTTACAATGTTCTGTCTCTGGGCCACTCATGCAGTGCAGCAAACTTTCTATGGTATGTAATGTGCCTCAACCAGAATCCAAATCTGTAGCAGGTTTGAGTTTCTACGACACATTGTGTTTCCTTCAATTTTCTCAAAACTGTATCATGACAAATCTAGTCAATTAAAGTAAAACATATCTTCTTCTATTTTACTCCTGATCACATGATCCTATGTATTTTCACTGTTAAATGAATAAAAATGCGTCTCTCCTCTCTCTGCAGTACGACTGGTACACAAAAACAACCTCTGTGGTAGTGGATGTGGTGCAGGTGCCTGCAGAAGGTCAGGAATAATGACTGAACCACATTATTTTCACACACATTTTAAATGTGTATAATGTATAATGAGTTTGTGTGTGTGTTGTTTTGGGGTTTTTTTTCCAGATGGTTTCTAATGACTCTACTGCTCTCAATTGCCTCCTCAGTGTTGGTCCGCCGATAGTCAGCGGGTTGTCTTAACCACTCCTCAGCGTTGCCGCAAGGTACAGAAAAGTCCTGTCTTATGACTACGTCACTGCAACGAGAATCAGAATCATACCACTGTCTCTAACATTTGTGTTCACTTTGTTTTTAGGATTTGCTGATGGTGGATGTCAGCACAGGGAGAGTCTCATCACTGGCTGCGAGTGAGGAATTCCTTGATTTTTATTTTAAGGATGTAGCAACTGAAAATGCTAATGTTGAACTTTCTGACAAGTGAAACTGTGAGATTACACGCCAATGTGTTGTAAGGAAACAGCAACGTAATGGTTTCATTATAACAGATGGAAGAGTATACTAAACATGTCCAAAAGGACCAGTGGTCTTCAGGTGTTATACTGATGATGTTCCGGGTTTTTCCAGAGGGTGATACTGGGACCTGGGTGCTGCTGAACATAGAGAGAGACCTGATGGTTGTCAACTACTCCTCCCTCAACCGTCCGCCCACTCTAGTAAGATCTGTAGTAAAGATGTCCCATATTATCAGCCGATATTAGCATAATTATGTAATATCTGTACGAATCATTACTGAATTTTCCTCCGATAATTAAAACCCGATAACGCAATGCCTGAGTTTGGCCAAATGACGTGTGCTCTAAAAATAGTTTAACGCCCGCCGGCGTCAGACCAATCAGATGCCTCAGTGCTCTCAAGAATGTATTGAAACACAGCTGCAGTAACTTGTCCTAAACTTCTTTATTGCTCTCAGCCCAGCTTCTCCAGAAACACCTTTTCCTCCTCTCTCACTCTTTCTTCCTCATACACACACCCACTCTCGCTGAAAAAACCTCTGTCCCCTAGGCGGGCATGGCAGAAAATAATTGAGAAACATTGCTCTAACCCATCACCTTAGTGCGCAGGTGACACTTAACTTCTTTAACCTCCACCACTGCCCAATATATCGGTATTGATTTCGGAATCGGAAATTAAGTGTTCAGACAATATCGGTATATCGGACATCCCTAATCTTTAGTAAATGGTTTTATACTATTCCACTATGAAATGACAGTTATGTTTAAAGGAATATTACCAACATTTCTTTCACCACTTCCCTCAGAGAATTGGTTTCCTTCCAGCCAGAGATTCCGAAGAGGAAGTCGCCTGGGTGACTTTGGAAGACTCTCAGCCCTTACCAGAGATCAGCTGGGAGATTTTAACTTTCACGCCTCCTCCAGAGCAAGAAAACAAAGATTATCGTAAGACTGCACATCATTTTTTTTGTGGAAACCTAGTAAAACCTAAGAGATGAAAATATGGATTTCTTATCTTCTCTACTAAGCTTCTTCAGTCCAGCCATCTATTTCAACAACTCTAAATTGCTGAAAACCTTTAAGATCAGGGTCTGTGTGGAACCATATAGAGGTGGTGTGGACAGAATTGAATTTGAATCTCTTCTGCATTTCAGCCGGCCTCAAATTTGAAGCCTTTTTGCTCAAACCAAAGGAGGTGCAAGAAGGAGTGAAGCTGCCTCTTATCGTATCTCCTCATGGTGAGTAAATATTATTGTCATAGTATTATTTAAAAGAAAGTATGGTGGCCCAGAAACAGCTACAGCTGACCTTCCAAGCACCACCATAACAGAGACATTCCTGCCTGTTTTCAAGAAAGTCCTTCTTTACCGTTACCCTCCTCTATCTCCTTGAGCACTTGTTACCTAACTACTGGTCTCCTTTCAAGAGTTCCTTTATGTATCCTGATGGTAATACTCATCTTGTATCTTTGATTGAAGGTGGTCCTCACTTGCTGTATATGTCCGAGTGGATTCTTTCCGCAGCTTTTCTGTGCAAGATTGGCTTTGGGTTACTAATGGGTAAGTTTATTGTCCAACAGCGATTGGCCAACAAGTCAAACATGAAATCTGTACGGTAAAATGCTACGTATTGCATGTGTAAAAATGTACAGTAGTACATTACGTATTCACGTCTGTTTTGTTACTCCGTCAGTGAACTACAGAGGCTCTCGGGGTTACGGTCAGGACTATCTCCTGTCTGTAATTGGACGCATTGGTGACCAAGATGTTAAAGATGTGCAGGTGAGTTCAAAAACGATGTTCAATCTATCACGTGCCACACCCGTTTTGGATTTTAAAGTAGCACCCTTTGGCTACAAGTAGATCCGTGGTTGGTGGATCTACTCAAGTTTTGACTCAAATCGCTAACTCAGCTAATCTCCACAAACCGATCAGCAAACAAAGGGCTGATGCCTCCACCGTCTTAGGAAAAAGATACCGTAGCAACTGTCCAGCGGCTAAGTCTGGTAATATGTGTGATGCGTTGATGCAACGGAGCTACAGTTTTTCACATCGTGTCACTTGATTCCAGTTGTGGAAATCTTCGTAGTAAAAACAGACAGAGAACATTCTGTTTTCTCTCATTTCACAGTCACGGTTTCCTTTTTTTCCCAGTTTGCTGTTGAAAGTGTTCTCAAAAGCGGTGAGTTTGATGCTGAGAAGGTGGCCGTCATGGGAGGTTCCCATGGTGCCTTCTTAGTCTGTCACCTGATTGGTCAGTATCCAGGATTCTACAGCGCTGGTGTGGCCCACCTAATTGGTCAGTACCCAGGATTCTACAGCGCTGGTGTGGCCCGAAACCCCGTCACCAACATGGCGACCATGGTCAGCAGCACAGACATTCCAGACTGGTACGTCCTACTGTCTTGTGTTAACGTCTGTTCCTTTAACTTCCATGACTGGGGAAATGGACATCCTCTTTTAGATGTTTGTATATCAGGGGTGTCAAACTCTCGACCCGGGGACCACCTTTGGCCACTGAAGCCCTAGCACACAGCTAAAAGTCAATGATATTCTAAGGTGACAGAGGTGTCACATAGGAATGAAAAAAAAGCCTTCAACCTTCAACTTTGTATTTGACAGTAATAATAATGACCCCAAAATACATACAAACATATAAATAAATAAACATAAAAATACATCATTTACACCAGGAGTCCGTAGGTCGTTTGGTACCGGACTGCAGTGGGACGCAGTGAAAAAATGTACTTCAGTTTTACTAAATTACTTAATTCCAAAAGTATTCAGTAATATCTTTTTTACTTTTTCCATTCAAAGATAATCTAAAACTAACAGAATAAAGTCTAAAAGACGTTTTATTTAGAAAACCTGATGATCCTTCAACGATGGAGCGGTATTACCAGTCCGCACATATTTTATAATCATATTTTTTTTGTATTACTTGAACTCTCCAATGATACAGTAATTGAAGCAGTGGCCCTCGGCTTGTTTGGGTGAGAGTCCCCTGTTGTAAATACGAGGTAATGGTAGAACCCATGGCTCATCCTCACGATGGTGTTTGTGTCTAATTTCCAGGTGCATGGTTGAGTCTGGTTACGACTACAGCGCCGACTGGTTACCAGACCCTGAAGTCTGGTCACAGATGTTGGAAAAGTCTCCGATTAAATACGTTGAACAGGTGGAGATATATTAAAATTTGAAATTCTCTAAAAATGGATCAACCTGTTATATAAAGAATATATTGTTGTTGTTTTCAGGTCCAGACCCCGCTTCTGCTCCTTTTAGGAAAAAATGACAAACGTGTGCCAAACAATCAGGGAATGGAATTTTACAGAGCTCTGAAAGTCAGGCAGCGTCCTGTGCGGTGAGACAATTCTCTTCAGACTGATGTCAAGCAAAAAAAATAAATAATGCAGTGGCAGTGTGTACGGATTGAGTCTGATTCTTTTTCTACCATGTGTTTGTGTAGGATGCTGATGTACACAGGACACAACCACTCGCTCCTTAGCATCGACACAGAGTCGGACCGCTACATGAATCTTGTTCTGTGGATCATTCAGCACTTGTCGTTGGGATCAAGACACGGGTGTGCAGAGCAGAAGTGAAGAAACTCAACCGAAACCCAGAACTTTTCATCAAAAGTTCAACAAAGTTAGAGATCAGTCACAAACTCTGAGAATCAGTTATCACATGATTCATCCTTTCCATTTTGTCAACTTCTTAAAGGGCGGTGATGTTTAGTTGTTTTGCGTTTGGCAAGCAAGCCTCAGACTCCACATGAGGCAAGAAATGACGCCAAAGAATTTGGAATATGGCGATACAATACATATCACGATACATGAGCAACGCTCTGATGTATTGCGATGTACTGTGATACTACAGGATATATTTTTTTAAAAGAATTTCATTGCAGAAAAACTGTCAGCATAGTAAACGCACAAGACTGTTACATGCCTAGCGTCAGGTTACTGAAATTGGAGCAGGGGATCAGGGATCGACATTTGAAATTACTAGAGAAGAAATAAAATGAATTAAAGCCATGAATATTTGTATGTTAATTAATAATTTAAAAAACTTGATTCAATGAAACAAAATATCGCAATAATTCTGTTTGATATTTTCACCTCAACTTAACATACATGTGACAAGGTCATTTCATTACAAACCATACTGGTTTATTGGCCACTAGATAGCAGTGTTGCAGTTTTTCCACTCACTTTTTATCAGCAAGTCCATAAATTTTGCAATTAATTTCAAAATATTTTAGAAGAGGAAGTCTCTTGTTTTGTTTGTTTGTTTTTTTGGTCAATGTTGCAGCACTGAGCAACAGCGTTACCAACCAGCAGATATTCTACAAATAGTTTAAAAAAAACTCGATGACATTGACCAACAACTCACAACACAACCACCACTACTGTAAAGTCACAAATACAGATTCAGAAAACTCATTAGTCTAAATGATAGTTTTGAAATTATAAATAAAATAAAAGAATACAATACAATTCAAAGTAAAGCACAATGAGTCGGAGAAATGTGATTAAAAACCCCATTAAACCACACATTAAGCAGCATTTTGGCAATAGTGTCGAGCACTTGAGAGAGAGAGAAGGCTCAGACGCACAGAATATATTCATAACTGTTCCACCTGAAATACATCAAGATAAACTCACCGGAAATCAGGAACAAACGAAGGAACGACGAGGAAGCACAGGCAACGACATGAAACTTAGAAGGACGACAAGAGAGGAGACAAACGAGGGACTCACAGGCCACGGGTGAGAGTGATATCAATTATTTAATTAAGAACTGGCGGGAGAGGAGAGACTCCCGGATGTTATAAACCGTTACTACGACAGTACAGTTGTAGAGAGCACGTCATGTTGAAGTACTTCTGCTGAGTCCTGTCGTGTGCGCGATACGTTTGTAAATGTGTATTGTTGTCGGGCGTCTCCTCAGAGTGCCTGCTTCTCTCACTAATTCCACGTTCTTACTCATCCAACGTGTTTTCTGATGCCACCGAACGTTACCAGATGATGAGGTTTTCTCTGCAGATTAAACGGAAGTGTTGATGTTTATATCCCTTATGTTATCGTATAAAACAAGTGGTGTAGTGAAAGTGATATCGCAGTAAAAAGTCTTACATTTATCCCAATCACATGACTTATCAGTGTGTGTGTGTGTGTTATGGACATTTACCACAGACTTTCACTTCTGCATGACAACATCCTGCTTGTCTTCACTTCCCAGAGATTTGAAACCATCCCCACTGTCTCTGGTCTCTGTCTAGATTAGAAAGCGGTTCCACTGCATGACGATGGGTTCACACACATCTCCATCTGCAATGGTAAGTGAGATGGCACAGTGGTGTCCTATAACTTAAGTAGATTTATTTATTTAGATCTATCTATCTATAGATCTATCTATTTATCTATCTATCTATCTATCTATCTATCTATCTATCTATCTATTATGAATATATGTATATGTGTAATTATATACAGTATGAAGGTACATATATTTCTGTATATATATGTGTGTATGTGTGTATATATTCAGGATTCCTGTATATATATTCAGACTTTTTTATGTATATTCAAAGATTAATTTCCTGAAGGGCATGCCATAGTGTGTGTGTATATATATATATATATATATATATATATATATTTTTTTTTCCCGTGAGGGAAATTTTGTTTTTTGATTCAAACAAACTTCAGAACCTTTAGTGTTGCGGTTGAGTCCTTAATATTTTATTCCTTATGTTAGGCTGAAGTGAGAAGGCGTTTCAGTGAAGTCACATTTAGTTCTTTTTCCAGCCTGACTTACAGAATCATGGTTTCGTGTACTTTGAATAGAATTTACTGTAATGCCTCCACACCCCACCCCTCCCTCCCTCCACACACACACACACACACACACCTGTCACTTCTGAATTCCAACCCCCCTGACCCTGAACTGTCCTCAATTATTTAGCAGAACTAGATGTTGTGCATTTAGCAGTAACTAATTATCAGTACCTCGTACAACCGATCTTTAAACAACCTGAACAACAAAATGTTGAAACAAATTCTCTTATTATTTCAGGGTCTCTTCAGATGGATCTTCATCATTAGTCTGATCCTTCCAGGACTGTGGTCTATAAACCTCAGGTTCTTTCCATGTGACAGTGAAATGAACGATACCACAGCAGACTGTAACAAGCGGCTAATCAGCAAGGTCCCGTTCAAATCCACCGAACTGAAGATTCTTAAATTAAGTCAGACCAAGATGCTTCAAGTAAAAGCAGACTCGTTTAAATATGTCTCAAACCTTCGAACTCTAGAAATGATGGACAACTGTCTACCGGCTCGGATGAGATCGCCGGACAAATTTTGTACAATGGAGATCCACTATAATGCCTTCAAGACTTTACCAAAGCTTCAAAATTTGTACCTGTCAGGAAACAGCCTCACCTCAATACCATGGTTGCCGGAAAGCTTGCTAGTCCTCGATCTACAAAACAATCACATCTCGCATATTAGCATCTCTTTAGGAACCCCCAACCTGCGGCAACTTTTATTGAGCAAAAACTGCTTTTATGCAAATCCTTGTAATCGATCCTTTCACATCACTGAGAAGGTTTTCGGAGATTTGCCTAAACTGGAAAACCTCACCTTGGGCTACAATAATTTGACTGAAGTCCCTAAAGGACTCCCACCTACATTGGTTAGTCTGGATCTGAAAGAAAACACCATTACGCAGGTTTTGGATGGAACATTCTCCAACCTGACCAACCTAACTCACTTGGTCCTGGAGTGGAACTGCCAGCGCTGCGACCACGCAGCAAGGCCCTGCTTTCCTTGTCCAAACAACCTTCCTCTGAACCTTTCCTCCAACTCACTCTACGCTGAAAAAAGCTCAATCATCTACCTGAGCCTGAGAGGTAACTCTCTGAAAACTTTTCCAGAGGGTCTCTTCAGACCTTTGACAAGCTTACAGAGGTTGGACCTCTCGGACAACCGCCTGGCATTTGAAATACAAAATGGCAAGTTCTTCACGGAGTTGAAGAACCTCACTTGGATCAGCCTCATCTACAACTATGAGCCTCTGGTCACGTTTAGTCAGCTGAAACTCTCTAAGCATATCAGCGAAATGTCTAGACTGCAGTACCTCCTGCTAAGCGGCATCTTCTTCCACAGGCTTTCCAATCAAAGCTTCAATGTCCTGTCCAGCCTCAAACATCTAATAAAGATAGAGCTGAGGATGAACTTCATCAATGATTCTAATATAACGGCTCTGCGGAAGTTACCGTCTCTCGTTAACATTGTCCTCTCACAAAACATGCTTGCCTTTCTACCTTGCATCCCTGGGACAACATTGAACACAACATTGGCACAGAACAGCAACCAGTATGCGTACGAAGTTCAGGAGCAACCCATAATTCTGAGAAAACGGGAAACTGAGTCTGGAAATGAGTTTCCGCAGTCCGGTCCATTCAATGTGTTCGACAGGTTTGAGGATTGTAGCCCACACTTCCCATCACCCTGGGAATTCAGGAATCATTTGTGCTACAATAACTTATCCGTTGACTTTTCTCAAAATGAAATTGCATCGCTGAACAGACATGTGTTTGAAGGTATGGAAGATGTTGTTTGTTTAGACCTTTCCTTCAATTACATGAGTGAGAGGTTACAGACCGGGGAGTTTAGCAGCATGAAAAACTTAGCTTTTCTGAATTTGTCCTACAACAGGCTCGATCTTTACCACGACAATGTTTTCAGCGAGCTGAATAGGACTCTGAAGGTGCTAGATGTTAGCAACAACGACTTTCACTTCAAAATGAGGGGCATGGGCCACCGGTTTGTGTTTCTCAAAAATCTGATGAACTTGGAAGTCCTGAGTCTCGCAAACAATGGTATTGGAATGAGGATCGACCAGGCGCTGGTCAGCAGCTCTGTCAAGTACTTCTATTTCTATGGCAATGACCTGAACATCATGTGGGCATCTGATAACACCAAATACACCCATTTCTTTCAAAACATGACAAACCTCATGTACCTGGACATCTCTGACAACAACCTGGTCTCCATCTCACCAGAAGTACTCGTCAACTTCCCAAGGAGCCTCAAGGCCCTGCGGGTTAGTGACAACAAGCTCAAATATTTTCCTTGGTGGAACATTTCAGCCCTGTTCAATTTGTGTTACCTGGACCTCAGTGGTAACCATCTTTCTCATTTGCCACATGAAGTCATTCCATTCGGAGCCAATTTCACCCTCCTGGACCTCAGTTCTAACTACATTAGTGTGATCCCTGAAGATTTCCTACAGAACTCCAAATCCTTGGAGTACCTACGCCTTGACCACAATCAGATCATGGCACTAGACCGGCAGCTTCTACCAGCTCCTTTCAAAAACGGCAGTGCCCTCAAAGAACTCTCCCTTCATGGCAACCCTTTCAAGTGCGACTGCGATACGTCGTGGTTGGCAGACTTCCTAGGAACCACAGATATAAAGGTTGCTTATCTCACCACAGAAGTCTACTGCAAATACCCGGAGTCCCAGCAAGGCCAGAGCGTCCTGTCCATGGACCAGCGCTCCTGTCAGGACATTTATGGAAGCTTGGCCTTTCTTGTCTGCTCCTTCTTGGTGGTGTTGTCCACCGTGCTGCCGCTGCTGAAGCATCTATACGGATGGGACATGTGGTACTGTTTACAAGTTATTTGGGCGGGACATAAAGGTTATTCCCAACTGGCTGGTACTAATTTAAAAGACCACTATGATGCCTTTGTGGTGTTTGACACCGGAAACCAAGCTGTGAGGGACTGGGTTTACAACGAGTTGACCGTTACTTTGGAAAACAGGGGCCAACGGACGTTTAGCCTCTGTTTGGAGGAGAGGGACTGGGTTCCCGGACTTTCATGTATTGACAATCTACACAACTCTGTTAACAAAAGTAAGAAGACGGTATTCGTGCTGTCCAGCACAGAGACGATCAACGGCGTGATACGTCAGGCTTTCTTTATGGTCCAGCAGCGACTTCTGGACGAAAAGGTAAAATGAATATTTTTCTCATCTTCAAAGTGAATTATTTGTCCCTATGGACGGTGTGAAAACATTTCTTTCTTAGCTAAGCTTCTCCCAAACGTTATTAGTCTACAACTATCATAACACAGGGCTAAAAATGTTTCATAGTCTTCAAATAGTCTTTAGGTGGCCTTAGCCAGCTAGCTAACACCTAGCTGGCTAAGGCTAGTTACTATGCTTCACTACAGTAAATGACTGGTTTAAATGGGTTCTGTCTCTTCAGGTGGACACGGCCGTGCTGGTCCTTTTGGATGAGAAGTTTCCTAAACTGAAGTACTTGCAGCTGAGGAAAAAGCTGTGCAGGAAGTCGGTTCTGACCTGGCCCAGAAACCCTCGAGCTCAGCCTCTGTTCTGGAACAAGATGAGAACAGTGTTGTCATCAGACAACCTTACTCTATACGACAACAACATGAGCGAAAGCTTCATCTGATGTGTTCCAACTTGAATCATGTGTCATTGTAGTGTGTCTGTGTGTTGAAACTTTGTTTTAGCATCGGAGCCTATCATTTTCTTTTCTTACTTTTAAATTAAAAATGTATGTTTTTTTGTCTTTCTGTCTGATTGATAAAAGAGCAAAAGCATTTTTGGGAAGTGGAGGTCAGTAAAGGTAAGGGCTGGTTCTGTTTTAGGGGGCCTCAGCTCAACTTCTGAAGAAATCACGAGTGTCATTTGTTGTTTGTCCTGCCCACAGTGAATGGTGGCAGCTGCTGAGGTCAGTCATGTGCAGTTTTGAATAAAAACACACAAACCTTTTAAAAAACTCTCTTTCATTTCCTCTTACATCAGAACAGAGGGAAGTGAAATGCACCATATTTTGGGGGAATAGCTCAGTCATCACCTGCGTTTACTTAGACTGACATTTTCACAGTTGCTACTGTGGTAAAACTTGTCGGTTTGTCTGAAGCTCTAGAACATAGGTGTCAAACTCAAGGCCCGGGGGCCAAATGCGGCCCGCCAAGCCCTTTTAGTGTGGCCCGCGGGAGCTTAAATAGCATTTAGTAAAGTCCATGCAGCAGAGAGAGTTTCTTAACCTGAGAACTCTTTTAGACTCTATTCTGTTTGTGTCTGAATGACTGACATATTTTAAAATATTGTCAGATTATCTTTAAATAAAGAAAGTAAATGGATATGGCAGGATATGGTTTGAATAAAGTAAATTAGTAAAAATTAAGCACATTTTTTCCAGTGTGTCCCACTGTTGCCCAGTACCAAATGACCTATGGACTGGTACTGGTCCGCAGACCGGGGATTGGGGACCCCTGATCTATACAGTGTTCTAGTGAGCTGTTTTGCTGATGTGGCCCCTGGTGAAAATGAGTTTGACAGCCCTGCTCTAGAAGAAACAGATTTAAAAAGGTATCAGAGGGAGAGGTTTAAGATCAACTGTGGTCGTCTTTCTTTTAGACTTGACAACAATTCCTGCAGACTATATGGGGATTTGTAAACAACATGGGACAAACCACCAATGTTGTTAATAGTGAAAACTGGGTTTTTATTTATATTAATCATTCCTGTTTCCACAGCAGCACTCTTATGATCCCCACTGTTTATTCATTATAAAGGAGAGTACAAGGAGGAGGAGAAGGAACAGGAGAAGGGGAGAGAAGACCGAACACGTCACACAAAACCGGAAATTATCACGATGAGCATGATGTCAGAGTAGCTAGAGTCTGAATCTACATGCAGTCATGCACTTTTTCAGTCTGTACTGAAGAAGTCTTTTTTAACAAATGCATCCACAGGATCAAACGTTATTCAAAAAAAAAAAAAAAAAAAAAACAAACACCAAAAGATGTTTACAAAAATGGGATGTGCCCTCTGTTTTTAAGAATAAAAATTAAGCAAGGCATTTTCTTTTTCAACATAATCTAAATGACTACTGTGGAATCTAGATGATTTAATTCCTGGATATACACACATTTACACAAAACAATCATCAAGCCGGCTTCTTAGTTTCACCCTCATTTTTTTTTGTCTCTTCAAAGACCTGTTTAAACAGTCAGAACAGAATAAAGCAATTGTTTTTAGAAAGAATCACACCTAAAGGTGCACCTGTAAATAGCGGCCAGCAGGGGGCTCTACTCAAACATTTTCCTTCATTACCAATGACAATTACCATTACAATCACTTGTACTGTACGTGCAGCATTTTTAACCACCATATCGTTTTTAACTGTTGGCCGCACTGTTGGATTAGCTGAAAATCCATTTTTGAAAATAAATTGGTAGTTGTAGTAGTCGAAGTCAAAAATACTTAATTAAAGGTCATACACTTTTAGGTGGTACAAAGCTGCAGCGGGACAAAACGTCTTTCTGTGCATATTTGTTAGCCTTTTTGTGCCCATCCCTTATTTCGACTGCATGGATAAAATCACATTTGCAGTTCAGTCGTTGGGTAACTTTCAAGTGGGAGTTTAGGATTTTCATTAGGTTTTTGTTGCTGTTGTGTCTATATAATAAACAGTACTCTCATACAGTCACTGATGTTGGGAAGACTGAACATCACTGCCAACAGGAAGGTAATTCACTAACGTCTCCTTTCTCTGAATGATCATAAATATATCATTTTAACGGTTGTTAGATGGAGTCCTCGCTTTTTTTTGCCATCTTGAAAAAAACCCAAAAACAATAGTGACACAAATTTAACAAAAGCCAGAATGGCAAAAAAACAAACAAAAAACCCTCAACTTATTAACCTGCTATTTTTCAGTAAACTTAACATCAACATCCAAAGTCCACTTTACTTAAGCGACATAAATCAAAGGAATAAACGCACAACAGTGGCTCCTGTGTAGAGAAAAGGCTAAAAAAAACTTTTCATTTTTCTAATGAACATTGATCAAAAACATTTGAATTTTTTCCTTTTCCATCCACATTTCAACCGCAATCAGACAGTAAACCTGGGTCCACCATACTTCATGAATCACTTCCTAACTCCAAAGCCCACAGAGAACAATCTTAAAAAAACAAAAGTAAGAGAGGGGTCAACGACTCCCACCGTCGAAAAGTTGTAGTGTCTAATATTTCACAGTATGTCCAAATTTTTAATTGGATTTTAGAAATGTTCAGCAGCTGCTGCGGGCATGTGAATTTAAAAACATTTTCTCGATGGGTTTTGGTGCATTTCTGTAAGCAGTGAGCGAATCTTTCATCCAGTGATGATGTCAGTTTTGTCAATGTGTTTCCCTGCTGGCAGTAATGTTCCTAGTGTGTGTTTCCAGCTGGTTCTCTGTGCAGTTGTGCCGATTGTGTGTCAGTACATGACATGGTCACAAAAAAAATCCTAAACATCACTTTTACATTCGGTTTGCATCACGTTCTGAATACCCATCTACAAGTGCAGCTGAAGGTCGTCGATGAGCTCCGCGAAGTCCTCAGCACCGTCGCTGGGATCAGCACTCACCGGCGGACAGCTCCCGTCGCCACCTAGTCCACTTCCTCCATGTTGTTGTAGGATGATGGTGTGCACTCTGCAGAGGGGGCGAAGAGCTCAGGAGGCACCTCGGGGGTTAGCGTGGGCGGTCCTTCGGGGTCCAGGTCTGTCCTGTACAGGGACTGACCAGAAGCCTGTGAAAATACACCAGCGTTAACCATAAATCAGACTGCTGTAGGTGGCGATAAGATGATGAAATCAGAAAGAAAGACCAGAACTTGTAACATGAGCATTTATTATCAAAGGAAGGCTTTGATGCACCGAGAAGCAGCATTAGAGGAGGTATTCATGTTAGATTATTGCAGGGAAATTAATTATTTTTTTGTAAAGTACATCACAGACAGATGTTAGACTAGTCCATGATATATACATATAAGGGAAACGACAGTTTTGTCATACAATCAACATTTTTAAGGCCGAAGCTGGCAAGAAGAAAACCAGATCTATCAAGAAGTTCTCGGACCAAAAATGTTGAGAACATTTTACCATCACTCACTGTTGCTTTAAATGAACTGTAATAAAAACAATAAATTAATGAGCATTTCATATTCTTTTTAAGTAAAATAATGCAGGCCTGAAAAATAAAGCACATCATTATTTCATTTACTGCATATTAAGATTTAAGTCATGAAATGAGACGATTTCCACGAATCCCTTTTACCCAAGTCCTGGGAACAAAGGAGTCTGATCTCAGGTTATTCCTGTTACAGAGGATCAAACGACACAGAAGAATATTCACATCGAGAGAAAAAAAATCATTCTGAACTGCACTGCCATTGTTTTAACCAGAGGTTTAAAAGAAACAAAAAAACTTTTTCCATGAACCGTGAGCCAACATTTGACTCGTGTTTCACAGTTTTTCAGAACCGACGTTACTCACAACACGGATGGTCTTAAGATCCAGTTTTGCAATTTGCAAACATTCAATTTTTGCAATAGAAAAGCTGGTCTTTTTCAAGAAATGTGTTCAATAAAAAAATGTAGAACTTTAAATGTAGATTAAGTTGGGGAAAATCTTCTATTATTATCATCTGTGGGTGGCGATCCAGACCAGTGGGGAACACGGCTGAGACACAGCAGTGCTGGGACTGGAGTCTTGAATATTTCTGAGTAAAGTTTACAGTATGACAGCAACTCAAGGCAGCAGTAAGACGCCTGAAAGCAGGATTTGACATGGATCAAACAAAGAAAAAAAAAACCTCAGGTTTTAAACACAAAAAAGCTAAAGTATAAATTGATTTGGTGAACGTAGACTTATCAGTTGCACGCGAAACCGTACTTAGGTCACATGGAGCTGCATAATTTAACATCTCACACACAGGTAACATTAATTACATTACGTGAATTAAAGTCATAGTTTGCCTTTAGAGGCGGACGGTAATTTTGCATATCTTCAGTATTATCAAACAAAAATGTGGCAGAAAAATAAAGGTGGTGGCAAATGTACATGTACATACATATATAGACTTAATTTAACTTCCCATTGTTCTCTATAGTCATAATTGGTCAGTTTCTCATTAGAACATGATGTTAATTGAAAAATTAAAATCTCTGTAACACCGAGTGTTACACAGACAATGAAAAACGTGACACAGTCAAACATCAAGTTCAAATATCCATGCCCTGCAACAGGAGGTAAATATCACAGTAATAAATAAAGGTAAATATTGCATCATGACCACGCCTTGCATTGTTTTCATTGTAGTGCAATAAAACTGGAGAGGACCTTTAACAGAGGCCACGAGAGACCAGTCCAGAGAGTTATTTCTACAAATGCTCAATTGAAGTCATTCAATGCAACATTACAGCTGTTAAAAAATATATATATTTACACTAAAACAGTTTTGTGGACTTCAACTGCAATGTATACGGTTGGGTAGAGAGGATAACGGCTGAGATGACTGTAAACTTAATCAAAAGTATACATGGACCTAATAATAACCTAATGAAATAGTGTTGGACACATCAGTCTTAAAGTATAGTTTCACCAGCCTCTGTTACAGATGGTGCAAACTGTGACGCGTCAGGCGCAAAATGGCTGCCATGGCTGGACACAAGGAAGTCTCAACACATTTGTTAAAAATATGACCAAAGTTGAACACATTTTTGGTCCAAAAACACTAAAAGATTAAAATTAAAAATTGACATGAATTTCTATCAGGTCATTTTTAGTGAATAAAAACAGTCAAGACTCAAGACAAGTCAAGACAAACACAGGACAGAGCTGCCATTATAAAGACCTTAGGTTCTGTCCTGTAATGTGGTGGCGACAAGCATCAGCTGATACTGATGTGTCCGTTTCAGGTTCAGCACAGCTGCAAAACCAGAATTCCAAATGATGAATTCCCTTTTACTACTTCAAGATCGGGGCCGTTAAAAATTAAATGAAATAATATGACAGTAGTCGCAGCTTCTCAGCTCCAGAAGGACTTGGACAGAAGTGGATAAAGCAGGTTGAAACACAGGGCCAACACTGCAGTCATGGTAGCCAGAACAAAATATCGCACACAATCGTCGGGGTAATCCGACATCCGCTGACTGGAGCGCCACCGTGAAGAACCTGCAATTCTCTCTTCATGTCCCTGGCCTCTGTTCCTCTGAGTCTTGCGTCTCCACAGCCCTGAGCCAAACAGTCCACGGGGGCTTTGGTCCAGCCCCTCGTCTTCCTCCTCTAGTTCCTGCCATATCCGAGAGGCCTGCGATTGGCGGAAACCGGTGTCAGCTTCTGGGAAAAGGGGCGTTGTCTAAAACACGCTAGATTTACAGTAAGATGGATTGGGTTGATCTATCTCAGGTTTGTTTACGTCTAACTTGTTTATACGAAGAGTCTAACGTGGCCACTGTATTGAAAGTTTCATCCTTGACAAATGAGAAAGTGGTAATACACACTGCTGGAAATCAAAGTTTCACAAGGTAAAGCGGCTAAAGTCTCCACTTTGAAATACAACGTTTAATTAAGTGAACAACGTGATCTGACCAGCTGACATCAGGGCTTAGTTGTAAACAAAAAAATAAAAAAAATTAACATTTACATCTTTGTTTTAGTAACGTCAGAACAACACGCAGGACCACACTCTGTGACACTTTGTCTTAACTATCATAATGTTGCAACTGAGACCCCCTGTGGTCAAACAGCAATAAAGTAGCTGGCAACGAGAAAGCAGTGATGCTTTTAGATCACCACACTGATCCCGGTTAAAGGGACTGGTCAGGTTGAGTATGTATGGAATAATGACATACAGTTAGTGATGAGTGAGCTGTGCAGCACCCTCCTGCACTAACATCGAGTTTTTGTTCCTTTTAAAACCACCACAGTCTTAACTGGAAGTAATATTTAACTTATTATTTTGATTTACTAATGACAGAAAAACAACAACATGGCAGCACAAGACCAGCAGCTGCTTCATCTCTGTGAGCAACAAATATATATTGAAAAAAGTCTTTAGGTAAATTTTAAATATTTCTTTCGTTTAGCTTTCCCTTAAATATTCACTGAAATTAATTAATCCAGGGAACAAACAATTTAACAAACAAATAAAAAAAATCTGATTTACATCAACACAGACATCCTTTAAACGACAACTTTCGATCAACCATTAATAATGTTATCAAAAGCTGATATAAACTTCATAAAATCATAAACTTTTTGTGTGGTTATAGTTGTGGCGCCCTCACCTGGCTGGCAGCAGCTCCTGCAGTAGTGGGGGACTCTGCTCCTACAGGCCTGAGAAAACGCGGTGGTCTTTCCACAGGGGAGTTGCGTCGTCGATAGAACAACACATAGGCATAGCGCGTCACCACTTGACTCTCATCCACCATGGTCACTGTGCTGTCGTCAAACAGACGCCAGCCTGCCAGACAAAGGGAGGGGAATAGGAAAAAAAAAAGATTTAATTTGTGTAGGTTCTCAGTCGTAGGTTGATTTAATTTGTATTTATACTTTAAACTTACAAACAAATTAAAAGGTTTGTGTGGGAGACAATGAGAAAAGCTGTACTGCAGACTCACCGACATCACTGCGCTGGCTGTTCTTGTCGCTGGGCAGCCGAGCATAGGCCGTGTAGTGGCCTCCTATCATCCCACCGTAGTGGTTTATGACTGCATACAGGTCATAGATGGGAGGATGATGCATCTCATCTTTCTGTCCGATGCAGAACTTACTCAGGTCCAGATTCCTACAAACAAAAGGAAACAGTGATCAAAGGGATGTCTTCCATTGAAATAGGATCTCATGCAAAAAAATGGCAACAACAACCCTTTGTTTACCTGACAGGGAAGTCAACCATGTCGTTGATCTTATCTCTCCAGATAAAGCTCCTGAAGGAGAACCGTTTGAGCTGGATGATCAGAACGTTGGGCAAACGCCACAGCAACAGCTGTTTGGAGGCCTCGCGGTGCTGTTGGCACTTTGGACAGTACCTTAAAAACAGGGTGTTTGAAAACAGTTTATACCAGGTAAAACAAAGACACCAGGTAAATAGCTGATTTAGGAGAAAAAAAAAATGACTACCATGCTTCTTCCGGTGCCAGCACCTCCGGTTTGGTGAAGAGGTTGAGGCACTGCTCCAGGGTGAAATGTCCAGCTCTTGCCGTCTCACTCAGAGAGCCTTGGTCCTCCTCGTACTCAAGCTCCTTGGAGCTGACCAGAACATACTCTTTAAGACGCTCATTGTTTTTCCACACCAGCGCCAGAGTAGTATCTTCAGGAAGTTCTGTGAGCAAGTCTTCTAAAAAGAAAGAAAGAAAGATGAAACGCCCGTTTTCTGATAGAGTCAACAGTATTTGTGTTGCAGCACAGTGGACATCCTAGATACCAGCTTCCTCAAATACGAGTATTCCATGTTATGAGTCTGCAACTACTGCAAAATTTTCCTCGTGATACGAGGTAATATCTAGTTACAAGTTCTCAACTGAGCTCCATTTTTCCACCCGAATTTGAGTGGCCTTGACACTGTCGCATTGTCTTGCTCACTGTCCCTCTCTTGTTCATTTTACTCGTCGCTTTCTTCTTCACAACTCTGGTTTTTACCTTTCTCATCAAGCCTCTGTTCCTTGTTGCTGGAGTCCAGCAGAGAAATGTAGAACTGACTGGCATGACCAGATGCTGACTCGCTTGGATGCTGATACCCCGTTACTGCAGCTAAAAAAAAAGAAACAGAGTTAGTGATATGAAAAACTCTTCTGGAAAAGTCGTATGCAGTCATAGGTTGCAATATCACCTTCTGGCCGCACTGTCTTCTCACAAGATGTCTCCTTTTCAGCGTGAGGATCCACAGTGGAGCAGGAAGTGGTGGAGCTCAGCTCAGAGTATCCTGAGTCTGAGGTCTGTGCGGTGGAGAGAGACGCCTGGATGGACGAGAGAGAATCTGTCTCCGCAGCTGATGCCTGGCCGTAATCTGCCTCAGACTCGGGTTGTGAAGACTGGCTGTCCAACTCTGCATTAGCTCCAGCAGTATTACTGCCACCTGTGGCTCCATCACCAGACACACCAAATTCAGGTGAACTTGTTGGCATTGGCACCAGGTCTAACCGGGACTGAGAAGTTTCTGGGGACGTCCTTCCAGACTGGAAAGGAGGCTGGAACACATTGACAGAAAACCTGTGGCAAGAGAAACACAACAACAGATCTTAGTGCTATTTTACCAACTCACTCACTGAAACCTTTCTACATGTACGTACAAACAATAAATGTAAAAAAAAAACACGACGGGCACATTTTTGTTATGGCCATAGTCTGTGTGTTCATAGATGAAGAAAAAGTGAACTCAGGCCAGTAAAGCTTTACTATCCTAGAGTGAAAAGTCTGAAATCACTTCAGTCATGACATCTAGCTATTTCAACAATTACAAGTATGCTACCAAATAAATAAACTGGATCAAGTTACCTGGAATAACCTTCAAGAAGCTGAGTGAGGCGGGCGTGGCAGAGGCGAGACTCTGGAACACTGACCAGGAATGGCAGGCCTACATTCTCCGTGTTAGGTCGACACATCCCCTTATGATTGGGCCAGTGGGTTCTCTGACACACTCTGAAAAAAAATAAGATATAGAGAAGTTATTGGATTTAAAAAAACACATATTTCATAAAATACCTAATAGAAGTAGAATACAAGTTAGTTAGATTATGTTGCTTATTGGACATAGGCAGAGGGTACATTATGGTGAACAACTCACTGATTGCAGTAGCCCACGCGATAGCAACGGGTGCAACGCTTTAGCTTGTCCTCATCAGACACTGGAGGCTTTAAGCAAGCAGCACATTTAGAGATGGGTATGTTAGGGACCTGGAGTTTCTGTAATGGGAAATAAATGAAGAAATTATAATTTTTTAAAAATCTGCTTGATTCTGCCAGGCCAAGATGAAGATAGAATCACCAGATACTGTAGTTTTATTACCTGCTGCACTCGGAGCAAAACGACCCTCTCTTTGGCCAGTTCTTTAGAGAGCACCTCAAAACAGAACAACATGTCAGAAGAAGACACCATGTCCAAGGAATCAGATGGCAGGAAAATGCGCTGGAACCGATTTTTCCCAACCTTTGAGAGAAAATGAAAATGTTTTAGGCCAACTGGAAATAGAGCAGGCTTTGTCATTTTTCTTTCCTACTACCTGAAAACACTTGTTTCCTCAACTTATTTGGGAAGAGTAAACAGCTCACCTCTGCAAGTCTGAGATTCTCTGGTTTGACCCTGGCACTCCTGGAAATAGACTCCAGGACTTCAGCAGTGCTGGAGTTCTCCTTACTCACACTGACCAAAAACTACAGAGAAATATACAAAACGTTCTTTTAAGAATTTGTACATTTTAAGAAGCCCTGTTACATTTTCCTGGCACTATATATCAGAATGCATTCTGACTCACCTTGATGGGCTTTTTATGAGGCTCCTTTGCAAAGTAGTAAACAGAGAGCACCTTTTGTTTTTGTGGTAATGGGACTGGAAGGTAGAGGAAGGGGTCAAAAGTGATGGACACCTTAAGAAAAAAGATGTAATTGTGAGTTAGTCATTAAAACTCTGTCAAGACATTAAAGCTTTTTTTTGAATTTTTCAAACATTTCATGGAGTCAAGAACAAGTTACCTTGGAGCAGGTGGGACACACCAGTTTAGATTTGAATTGGCCTTGGAAGAGGTCGACTATAAAGGAGTCATTTCTCATCTTGTGTCTCTGCCAGGCCTCTTCCGCCACCACCTGTAACAACAGACAAAACACATCAGGCCTTAATCAGACTGCAATAAACACAGCAAGTCAAAAATGTAACGTCACATTTTTTGCAGATAACAGTGTGAAAGTAACAGTCAAGGACAAGACAATAATTTAAATTTATCGAGTTAAATACATTCTGTTTTTTTATTCTTCTGTTTTTATTTAACAGTGATTCTGGCTAATAAATCCAGGATTTATCCAATAAATCAAAGCCCAACATATGGGCATACTGGTGTGGTATTATGAATGAGACATATCAAGGAATCACCCTATCCTACCTCATCTAGCCGCCCATCAGAGTCCACTGTTTCTGTGTACGGTTTATTCTGGATTCTGTTCAAGTCTTCGTGGAGCCCATCCAGCAGGAACGCCATGAATTCCTGGGCATCGTGTTGAGCGTAACCTGTGAACTGACTGGCTTTACTGGCCACAATTGCCTGCGAAGTGAAAAAAAGAGAAATGAAACAGGAAATAGGTTATTGGAAACTCAAATACTGCAGCCAAATTTTTTCCAGCAACTTAAATTAGATTTGAAATTGAAAATTAAACTTCAAGATGCTGCTTTTGTACCTTGAGCTTTGATGGTTGGAAGGCATGGTGTGTTCCTTTCCAAAGGGCTTTGAGCAACACAGCAAAGCCTATGGCCAACCTGCCTCCTGTTCCCAGAGGATTACTACAGTTGATTTCTGCTTCAAATGCTCGATCTGCAGTGCAAGACACGTGTCAAAAAATAAATAAAACAATATCTAAATCTGGCTTATGCATGTGAAAATATAAGACAGATCACTGGCACTTTCAGGAATAAATATTCTCTTCATGGAGAAAAAAAATACCATGGAAGTAGTCCCTGAGTTCTCTGGTGTTGGACAGTGTTTGGATAACGCTGTTCATGAAACAGGTGTTCCCAAGGTTGACCAGTCCTGTAAAACCAGGTAAGCACACCTTCTTCTCCTCTTCTTCCTCATGCCGCTCATTGCTGGCAGAAGGTGCATGTGTCATGGGCTGCACCATGCAGGTAGGTTTAGGCTGATGGAATACAAATACACACCCATTTATAAAGAGACAGGAAGGGCAACAGTATGAGTGTGTTATACTTGCGTGACTATCAGTGTGACTTACTGTGGTAACTGTAGGCTCTGACTTTGTCATAGCAACATGCTCTGAGACAGTGCGAGGAGCCACTGACTCCAGAACACCATCCTCCACTCTGGATGAGGCCTTAGGGGTCTTTGCTTTCTCCTCCCCAACCCTTGGAGGCTCCTCCTTTGCTCCTTGAGGTTTGTGCTGACTGCTGCCTGGCTGGCTCTTTTCCATGCAGGCGGGGCTAGAGGGCACAGCAACCTTGGCACCACCCACTGCACCTTAAACAAAGGAGAATTGAGCTTGTGGTTAGAAAACAAATGTCAAAAAAAGAGGGTTTTGATGTGTGGCTGTAGGAGTTAACAATAATGATAACTTTGAGATTATTTCACCAAGCATGAACTTGATCTACAGTTTTTGAAGGAGTAGAAGCTTGGCAGCAGACCTTGTGTGGCTGGAGCCTCCAGGCCTTCCCAGCGCTGGCTGTGTCTCTTCTTCAGTGTGATGTCTATGCGTGATGGGGTGAAAGAGTAGCTGCACAGCTCAGGCTGGATCAGGTTCCTGAAATGCAAGGACAAAAAGTAAAAAAGTCTGATTATTCAAAAGCATATTTCATGTGATATAGATATTAGAATCCAAAAAGACAACAAAAACATTCTTCCTGGGATGACGTTTAAATTTCTGTGGGTTAGATGTTGGTGAATGGTTGTGCAGATTACCTAACTGTGTTAGTTGTATGTAACAATATGCACACAAGCATTAATTGGCGGCTGGGAACACTAGATTTTAGCTCTCTCAAAATGCTATAGTGTCCTGTTTAATTCACGACATCATAATATTATTATATTTGATCTATTTTTTTTTTTCAAATATGATTGACCCAGTTAAAATACTAGAATGCAAAAACTGTTAGTGATACTTAAAATCGCTGATCTAGTGACCAGAAACAAATTAATTCATTTACACCACAAGTAGAAAATACAAATTGTGTAACTGCCTATCAAATGCAGTTTACAGACATTAGAATGATAGTTACCTGAGTTTAACTTGCCACTTGAAGGACGTGTTCGGTCCACAGTCTGAATGGAGCCGTAAAAAGTTTGCATCACTGCAAAAAAAAAGAGAGATTAATGTTTATGAGATGTTCTAAAGGCCGTTACAGTAATTTCTCTTACATATGCAAGTGTATCCTACCTTGTCTGGAAGATGAGAGTAAAATCCTGCTCCCTGAAAATGACCTTAGCCGTCTCCCTGCAGATCCCCTTCATGTAAACGTTGACCACCATCAGATCTGTGCCCTTCTCATACGAGTCATTCTTCACAAACTGCAGGTTAACCATTGGCTCTGGGAAATTATAAGGCAGTGGTTTTGATAAACAGTTTCAAGAAAGTGCCGATCAAATCCCATGCTCCACCATCTAGAGTATAGGTCTTTTCTACAGTGACAGGCAGCACTGACAGCCTGTTGACAACAAGGCAGTAAGTAGATTATGGATTAGGATTAGACAATTGCTTCTGTTACTGAAGGCTCTATAATTTTGCATAATAATTATAACATTATAAAATCTAAAATGTTACACTTGGAAATGGGGACTTAAACTACAAAACTTATTTTCATTTAAAACTATATCACATAGAAACAACCGCAGACAACCACACATCTCCACACCTTCACATGGCTTTATTTCCAGAGATGGCTCTTCCTTCAACTGGTCACACTTCTCCTCTTCCTCAGAGGTTTCCTGCTGCCTCTGAGCTACAGCTGTTGAAGAGCTCTGTTTGACAGTTATGTCAACAGATGGTACTGCTAGCGCTGCCTCTCTCAATCCAAGCTGTTGAGCGATCAGACTCTCCTGCACTGGTTTGGGCTCAACAGACCCACCCTCAGGTTCAGACTCAGTTCTTTCTCCCAGCCTTGCAGGAGCATAGTCCATTTCATTCTTGATACCAATAGGTTGTGGGCAGTCACTGGTGGTGATGGGAGCGGTGGCTTGGCTTTCAGTAATGACGGCTGAGCCTCCACATGGATCTGGTGATGACCTTTTTCTTTCAGGCACCTAGGAGAGACAGTTCATAAGAATTACTAAAAGTATCCACAACAATTCAACACGTTACAGCTGAGGTAATAGGTTGCCTGTGTAAGTTCTCAGTCATCCAGGTCAACTTATCCAGAGCAGCTACATCAAGGTCAACTGGACTGGTTAGGTTTCCTGAAGATGAACGATTGCTGGGACAATTCTGGTATTTAACATTGGCTGAATATATTATATTAATGAATATATGAATGTAATAATACCATGATACAGCCATTCTGCAATAATCATTATACTGTAATACATTTTCCTTAATACATCAAGAATTCTGTGACACAGAAGACATTCAGATCTTATATCAAATGTCTCTTATTTAAATGGCTTCAGTCCATCATGGAACAGAGTGACACAAAAACAAATGTCAATTCGACAAAAGAATCAATCTCTTAGTGTATGTATATCTATAACCTCTAGCTACTTAGAATGGAACATTAACAAACATAAGAATCACACAACATTATATGCATAAGATATTAACAGCAAAAAACCATTTTATTATTTATATGGGTTCAACTTAATATGGAAACTGCACACAGCAGTCACTTATTTAGGGATGTACTGAAAGACCTCAATAAAATCAAGGCACTGCAATTGATTAAATTAATAATAAACAAATAATAAATAACTGCCAAAATAATTTGTCAAATGTCTAGCAGAGACATAAAATTAACCGATAGTCACATAGGATGTCAGAACAGAATAGCCTACCTATTATTATTATTATTTGAGGAACTCTCTTGCAGAATCTCACAGAACACATCAGACAATGAGGGTACCTGCCCCTCATCGGACACACAGCTCTCCTACTCCTTGCGGAAAAACTAAAATGCACTTTTGGACCACTTTTGGCCAAACATTTGGTGTATCCCTACTCTTATTGTACTCTAACTATTTACAGTTAAACATAGAGATGCATAAGAACCCCAAAACAAAATCCCTATGAAAAAATGTAAACAGCATCCAGATTGTGTGCAATTATGTGGAGGATTGAAAAAAAAATGCAGCAGGGTCCACCACCCTAAAAACAAGAGCAGTTTGAGGATGAAGCTGATTGTTTTTATCTAAAGCTGGTGCTGTACTCACCTGAGATTTGTTGGTATTGCTGAAGACAGAGCCTTCATCCCTCTGCTCCTGACCACTGCTCGTTCTCTCTTCTCTGTTGTCATCTTCCTGTTGTGTCTGTGGGGCTTGGGCAGTGAGCAGTTGTGCGCCTGGGGATTTAACATTAGCCTTTACACAATGTGTGTCCTTCTCCTCTGATGTCTCCCTAGTGGCTTTGGGAAGATGTATGACGATGTGCTCTGCACCAACTTCCTGAGGTTGCTGCTGACTTCTACTGATAAAAGCAGGCTTAGTGACGGATCCTGGATCTCCAGCAGCACCTATCACATCTACAGAGTCTGCAGTGACTTTGTCTCGCACTGCTTTGTTTTTCAAGCACCGCTTGATTCCACGCTCAGCTTTACTAGTGCGTCTTAATTCGCTGTTTGGAGGAGAGGAGGGAGGGTGGGGTTGGTGCTGTGGCTGGGCAGAGGTCCCTTTTAAGTTCTCAGATGACACAGCACCCAAAGGCTTTATTTCCTGCTCGCTGTCATTTCTGGGCTCAGTTGGTGGAACCTTCTTCTCCTTTTCTTTCTCTTTCTTGTTTGACTGAAGCAAGAAAGAAACAATCAGATTTGTTGAATCAATCAAACAGAGGCAGGTAAAAGTTAAGTCCTTCTTGTTGTGCAATTGCTGCTTTTTCTACATTTCAGATTTGAATAGAATCTGATTTAGCTCTGATATAACAAAAAACTAAAAGAAAATACATAAGCTAAAACCACATACCTTAAGGGATGGCCAAATGTGAAAGGGGATCTTCTTGTGCAAAATAAGATGAAGGAAACCTCCCTTCTCCTTGTACTGGACTCTGCTGCATGAGGCCTCAATTTCCTCCTGTAGGTGGCAGCTCCACTGTCGTCCATCTACAAGACATAAAAATTTCAAGGATTAGAAATTTGAATGGAAATTCTGTCTCAAAAAGGCAAAAATATTTTCTTATTTTACATCACTTAGATATCTTTCTATCTTTGCTCCACCGCTCTGCATATCTGTTATGTTTTTCCGACTTACCTGGGAAGCAAACATGGCAGTGTGTATCAGTGAAGGTAGTGTTGATGTCCTCGATCCTGTGCACTCCCTCCCCACAGCGAAGCCTGACTGTCACTTCATTGACGTTCTGTTTCCAGTCCACAAAAACATCTGAAAAGTAAAAAGATGATGGAAAGATACATAAAAACATTAAAATGGACTTCGTTGTTATTACAAAATAATAAATACAAAATAATAAATACTTTGATATTACAGGTTACTGTGTACTGAGTACTGTTGAC